GTTGGAAAGAGGAGGCTGGGGGAGGTCCGGTGGCAGCCGGAAGAAATCTCTGGAGGCCAGTGTTGTCTTGGAGCTGGCAGTGCTCCCGGGGCTGCTGGGGTCACTGAAGGAGGGGGTCAGGGCCGGGAGGTCAGGCGGCATCCGCCGCTCTCGGCTCTCCCCACGTGGCGAGGGGTGTGGGGAGTTCGGGGCCCCGTCGGCCTGGCGTGGGCACCTTCATGGCTGCAGCGCCCACGTATATTCCTCGGAGCCTTCCCCAGGGGGTGAGGTGGGGGGTAATGCAGCAGGGGATGTGGCCCCGAAAGGGCAGCGGGGACCTCTCTGCCTGAGGAGTTACCTCGGCAGGGAGAAGCGCCAAACGGTTTCACCCTGCTGGTGTTACTGAGGGGTGCAAGGAGAGGGCACGGAAAGTAGGACTGCGGCCTCGGGGAGCTTAAAATAACACGTAGGCAGCTTCATACCCCGTGGTGTAGGGCACAAGGTATGAGTGTGGGGCTGCTCCACGCTGACTTAGAAGCCGCGGTTCTAGGATGTTACTCTGTTGTGCTATCTGCTCTCTATTCGCCTCTTGGTTCCGCAGGATAACGTGGAGAGGGCAGATGCACTCCAGTTGACGGTGGAGGAATTTGTTGAGCGTTATGAAAAACCTTACAAGCCTGTGGTCTTGCTGAATGCCCAGGTGGGCTGGTCTGCTCAAGAGAAGTGGACTCTGGAACGGCTGAAACGCAAGTATAGGAACCAGAAGTTCAAATGTGGGGAGGACAATGACGGTTATTCTGTGAAGATGAAGATGAAATACTACATCGAGTATATGGAAACCACGCGTGATGACAGCCCCCTCTACATCTTTGACAGCAGTTATGGGGAGCATCCCAAGCGCAGGAAACTCCTGGAGGACTACAAAGTACCCAAATTCTTCACTGATGATCTCTTTCAGTACGCGGGGGAGAAACGAAGGCCACCTTACAGGTATAGTGTGGTGACAGTAAGATACAAGAAGGTATTTGCATATCATCAGCTGTTCCTAATTAGGTATGACTATCTTAATGAAACTAAGTGATAGCTTTACATCTGCTCTTCTGAAATGAGCACATATCCATAACCCAGAGGGAGGAAAGGGCAGGTTTGTGTATCACATTTTCTGGTTCTGCCAGCAGTGTTGCTACAAGTCTATATTTTCTTTCTTTGCTTTTTTCTTTTTAAATTAATTCAGTTTACCTCACTACTTAGATTTAATTGTTTGTTTGTTTTTTTAAATTACATAGTTACTGAAAGCATTTATGAGGATTTAGTTCTTGCTATGTGTGCCTTCTGGCTTTCAAATTTTAAGTGCCTCAGGACTAGCTCCTGGGTTTTGCATGAGTGACTTATGTACAGTGTGGAATTTTGTTTAATTATGGATCGTTCCTTTTTGGGTACAGATCTCAAGCTAGATTAGGAAGTGTACAGACTAGTTCTTAGCTCCCCTTTAGATGGTTTTGAGAGAGAACAATATTCCACAATTTGTAGTGTTTTCAACTCTTTTGTACCTGGTTGGAAAAGGATGGAAATGACACTTAATTGAATGCAACAACTTGGGCTGTTAGGTAGAAAAGTGAAAAGTGATTTCTATGTAGTTTAATGTAATGCTTCATAGCAGTATGAGCATAAGCTGAACCCTCCCAAGTAATTAAGTAATTAAAGTCTTCACAGCAACGTTATAATTGTCAGAGAATGCCTTGCCCTTTGAGTGGCATGAGGCCTTGATGTAGGGGTTTTAATTGTTTGCCATTTTGAAATAAAATGCAATAAGTAGTTAATAACAACACTTTTCTCTTTCCTGCAGCTTCTCCCATGCCTGTAGTCCAGTTGTGCTTTTGCAGAAGCAAAGTCTGAAATGATTCTATTTGAGATCACTGGAGTGGGTGTGTTTAGTGTTGAAACAGACCCTTTTTATAATTCCCTTCTTAAAAGAACATACAGTTCTGTGATCAATCACACTAGTACACCATGGGTAGTCTCTAGTAGAAGCTGAATACATTACAGAACTGGGAACCATTTATCCAGGGTACAGGTAAACTGGACAATCTGGCCGTGACTCACTTACATTACTCTCTCCCCCACACCCTCCCCACCTACAGCCACACGCTGAGCTTCTTGCTTGTAGTCTTGCTATTGGCAGTTGTTGCACTTTCTCCTGGAAAATGTGGGTTGGTTTGAGGCTGTTGCCATTTCCGGAGAGATGAGTGATGTGAGAGATGCCTTCTGGCATTAGGGGTTCATCTGGGTACAGAAATGGATCAGGAGTAGCCAGTGGTTTAGGGGCATAATTGAAAATGCAACAGGAAGTGGATTATCTGATTGTATGATCAGGGTATGAACTGTACAGGCTGACCCTTGGGTTGAGAGGTGGGCAATACAGATACAGCCTGTAGAACTTAGTGACAAGTTGTGCAGTGTAGAGCATCTTTATTGGAGTTCCTCCTCTTTAAAATAAAGGCAGTAATTTCTGGAAGTCATTTACTGAAACAGCTATTTTAGTCTAGGAGGGGTTGGTGGTGCTTTGGGTTTCTTGCTTTTGAATTGAAGTTGCAGGTTGTGAAGTTGTTAATGGTGAATTTGATGTCTTGTGGCAAACTGGGTTATGTTTGTTGTAAGTTAAATGCCTGGAGGAAGATGCTGATAAATGATAGTGTTGCTAAATAAGGGTTTTTAAATCTCCTGCATGTGTAAATTCAGGTTATAGTCAGAAAAATGGAATTGAACAGTGTGTCTGTTTACAGATCTATGTTTTTCATTTCTTCTGACTCAGTAAAAACTTTGACTGTTCTGCTTGTGGTTTAATTAGTTCTCCATGCCTAATATGAATTGAAAGAGTGAATTAATGATTAAAGGGACAAACGGCTCCTTATTGATATTTTTGTCTCCTTTGTGAAGTAGGAAGAGCACAGCTTGATAACCAAATCTGTAGTCCTAGCAAATGATACTTGAAAACTGCCTTAATTTACATCCGTGCTGGGAAGGGGAGATGGAAAGTTTGGTGGCTTTTGGCGTTTTCTGAGCCTCCAAACTCCTCTTGCTGGGTATTGCCTGCCTGCCAGCCACACAACGGAGGACTCTTGTTGGTGCTTTAGTTTCCACCCTCTGCTGCCCGTTACACAGTTATTGCCATTTTTTTCCTCTTGGTGCCTGATGTAAAGTCACCTCACTGACATGGCTTTATCTGGTTATGGTAGGTCTTACTGCTCTGGTACAGGGGAAGTGAGCAATTAAAGGTGCTGCTGCTGCTAAAAGTGTAGAGCAGACAGAGTTCTCCAGTGGGAGAAATAAACCTTGCAGATGGGGAATGGGAACATGCCCACCAAATCCTGAAGGGTCACTGGAGAATGAGCTCCCTCTAGTTCAACAGAGGATGAAAAGCCTGTTGTAAGTGAACAGAAGGCAGGGAGGGCGGCCAGGGTTGCGTAACTTTGCTCTGTTCCTTACTTGTGTTGCCTTTTGTTTGTTCCTCATTGTTCTGCAGTTCTGGATCTCTTTATGAGTAGCAAATTTTAGAAAAACAGAAGATTAGGAGAATCCCCCTACATAGTAAGCATCCTCGTGCAGGCTAACGGGACAGGGTCGCATTCATAAACCTTGAAATCACTCATGTTTTACTGAATAACTCTTTTAAAACAATACAAAAAGCTGTTTTCATTTGCTTGTCCCAGAGTCATTCCTGTTCCAATTCATATTGTTTTTTTAGGTTAAAACCATGTTGTTTATTTTTTGTGTAGCATGAGCCTAACAATCTTAAGAAGGTAAAAGAAGGAACCGTAACGACCTTGTTTCTGACTGAATTTGAAATTAACAGCTGCAATTTTCTGTCTAGTATAAAGAAAAATGAAGGTAGCTATTTGCTTGCTCTGACAAAATGATTTCTCCCCCCTGCAGATGGTTTGTGATGGGCCCACCTCGTTCTGGAACAGGAATTCACATCGATCCCTTGGGAACTAGTGCATGGAATGCCTTAGTCCAGGGACATAAGCGCTGGTGCCTGTTCCCTACCAGCACTCCCAGAGAGCTGATCAAGGTGACACGAGAGGAAGGAGGGAACCAGCAGGATGAGGCTATCACTTGGTTCAACGTCATCTATCCCAGGACACAGCTCCCCACCTGGCCTCCGGAGTTCAAACCCCTGGAAATCTTACAGAAACCAGGAGAGACAGTCTTTGTGCCAGGTATGTGCAAGCCTCCCCAGTAAGGAAATCTGGGAGAGAAAAACATTGCGGGTGCAAAACAAGCAGGACCCGAGTTGCAGCATCACAGGAATGGGATCCTGAGCTAATCTGCAATAATGGGAAACCATCAAGGCATATGATATTAGAGATGTTTAAGTGATTTTTAGACAAAAATGTTTGCATTTATATACACCCAAGCAAACTTATGACTGAATTTTGTAGCCTAGGTAGTCTGACTGCATATGAATCTTTCATAGCTGCAGGAAAAGAACTTAAAGACATTGACACCTTCCACCCACCTCTCTGGTTATGCATCATCTTGCACTTGAAATCCAAAGCTAAAGAAAGAAATTAGAAAAATGCCATTCCCTTTGAGTGGCTGCACACTGTTTGCCCCCTATAACTGGGAGGTGAGGTGGCTAGAGAGTGAGTTCAGTGCCAAATTCTAACCTCTAAATCTTGCCTCATTTTTGTGCAGCACGGCCATAGCTTCTATCTATGCTGCTTGTCTCTAATGTACAGCTGCCTTCATGCCTGAAGAGTGCCTTGTGATTGTCTTGGCACTTACTAGTGACTCTTCAATGTACCTTCTGCTAAGATTTTGTAGCTGTCGGGTTCCATTAAACTGTTTCCTCAGTCTTTTTATGAAGTTGTAAGTGGGTTGTAGGAACACTGTCTATTTTTATCCTGCGTGGGGAAACAATTTTGCCTCTATTTTTAAATGAAAGGTTAGTCTGTAGTCATAAGAACCTTACTAAATCAGCAGGAAAGGTGCTCTCCAGCTCAACAGAGAGGGTCTCTGTGCGGTCTGGGTTCCAGCAGCTCCTGCTGCTAAACAGGCCATCAGTAGCCAGTGTGTTGCTGTCGAGTCAGACCTGCAGTGCTGTTCATGAGCTGGACAAGGTGGTCGAAGTGTTGAAATAAGACTGGGGAAAGATGATGTGGTAGCAAACTCACCTGGTTTGGGAGACACGGTCCACTTCCCACTTGGGACAGATGTTCACGGCTCTTCTTGAACTTGCTTTCTGCAACACAGCCAGAAAAGGTCGTTGGTGTTGTCTTCTTAGGTGGCTGGTGGCACGTGGTTCTCAACCTTGACACAACCATTGCCATCACGCAGAACTTTGCCAGCTGCACCAACTTCCCCGTGGTGTGGCACAAGACAGTGAGAGGGAGACCCAAACTGTCACGCAAGTGGTACAGGTGAGAGCTTCGGTAGCCTTCTTCTCATCTTCTTTCTAAAATCCCAGAATACCCTATTTGTTTACATGCAGTGTTACTCTTCAAAGGCTAAGCCTGAAATTTCAACTGTATTTAGGATCCTAAAGCAGGAACATCCTGACTTGGCAGCCTTGGCCGATTCAGTTGACCTGCAGGAATCTACTGGTATTGCTTCCGATAGTTCTAGTGATTCTTCCAGTTCCTCAAGCTCCAGCTCCTCGGACTCTGATTCAGAGGTAATGCTTTCTCCTGCAGGAGGTGATCACTGTCCTGTAGTTACATTGAGTTCTCCATATCTGATCATGTGGACTTGACAGTGCTGGGTTAACAGTTGGACTTGATGATCTTAAAAGTCTTCTCCAAGCTAAATTATTCTGTTTTTCTGTGAAATTAATTGAAACCAGCTAATCGAATCTACATGGTGGAAGAGCCTGTGGTCTTAGAAGGTTCTGTTTGCTGAAGCCACTCTTTGAATTGTTAAACGCATTTGGTTGGTTTGAGCTATGTTTGTTTTATATAAATCTGTCCCTTATTTAGCTAAGCCACGCTTGTGTAAAATGCCTGCAAAATGAATGTTTTAAAAATGAGGAAGGGGAACAGGAGACTGTCAGTTAGGACAGGGAACTTTTCTAGGCACCCGAGTCCTTCAGAAGAGACTGAGCCTGCTCTCAGAAAATCAGGTCCTTCTGGGAGCCAAAAAGAACACATCCATGGTTTTGCCCCAAGCCAGCCTAGTCCATGATAAAATCTAAGAACATACTTATTTGTTACTTGTTCTAAAAAAGCTTAATTTAAAATGTATTTCATGTGTCTAATCTAAAATAGCATGTTCTTTGAGTATGGATTATCCAGGGCTGCCGAGGTAGCTCTTAATGGTGAATTCCACTGCATGTGCAGTTCACTGTTTTTTCTCAATTCTGTTTTCACCTCTGTGCTTCAGTGTGACTCTGGCTCCGAGACGGAGGGGATGATGCACCGGAGGAAGAAGAGGAGAACGTGCAGCATGATGGGCAATGGGGACACGACCTCCCAGGACGACTGCGTGAGCAAAGAGCGCAGCTCCTCCAGGTGACCCCATGGCAACTGTTGGCTTTAAACAAGCAAAAGACAATGCGAGGCAGAGCTGGCAGACTTCAGCTAGGGATGGAGAGCAAGGGGTTCCTTACAGATCATAAAGCAGTTGACCAGTGGTGATATCTTCCCTCCATTAATTATTTTAATTGTTCCAAACTGAAAACTAAGATTCTGGTTTTTTTTTAAATTAGGTTTTTTACTTTATTTAATAAACAGTTTTATTACTTTTCCTAGTTGTCTCTTTCAATAGAGAAAATATTTTTGTTTAATGCAGGAGGTGGGATGTTTTAACTGTGCTCCTCAGAGGGCACAAACAAATAGCAAACAGTTAAAGGAAGCCCAGGTTTTGATGCCTTATTCAAACAGCCTTCAAGTAGTTGTACAGTTTCTCTTACTGTTGCCTTGATTACTTCAATTTGGCCCACTGTTTTACCTGTTCAAGGCAAAATTCATCGCAAATCCCAGATATATGTGTTTACCTGGTTGAAATAAACATAAAACCAAGTTTCTAGTCAGCCTGGAGGGAGGGAACATTAATATTGCAGAGCCAGATACTGCTTAGGGTAAAGTTGCCGAGGAAGGATGTTCTCTGACTTGCCAGGTCAAAACCAGTGAAACACTGGGAATCTGGGAGCATACTACAGGGAGTAATTTAGAAGTCCTTTGCTAAATGAACCATTTTTTCTCACCTAGCAGAGGCTTGCCAAAATTCTTAAGCTAGGTCCTTGCAGCTGGGTTAACTGCTGCTGCTGGGTCATCTGCCTGCCCGCCTTGGGTGCTGTCTGGTTCCCGTGCCAGTGGGTGCTCCAGTTTGGCACAGGTGCAGCTGCTGTGGTGCCTTGCCACATGGCCTGCTAAAGGAGGTGTGTGACAGTCATTTACCCGAGGAAGGCCAGGCTCCCAGGATCTGTGGCTTCCCAGTGTAGGGTGCTGCCTGAAGGCCTGTTTGCCATTGGTGCCGTGCTGCATTGCTCGCTCGCTTTCAGGAGCTGCTCATAGCTGCATACAATTGAATTACAAGTACAGAGCGAAAAAAATTGGAGAGAACTGTACTGACTGCTTATTTAGCCCTGGAGGTTTAAACAGTTTGTTACAACATTGTCAAATCCCAGTTCAGCAGAGAGCGTGACCTCAGGCAGGGAACGAGCAGCAGGAGTGAACAAGACTTAGTGCAGACACTGTTTTTTATAAAACAAAACCAAACCCACCAAACTAAAAATGCAGAGCACATGTGCAGATCTGTTCTTCTGAAAATCCCATGCATTTTTAACTTGTACTTCAAGTTTTGAAATAAGTATCAAATATTAAAAATGAACCCATTGCCTGGAACACGTAGGTTTCAGATCTCACTGTTCCTTCTCCTGTGTGTTGGTGGTTTCACTCTGTGAGGTGGGTGGGCTTTCTGCTCCAGCTGTGTGACAACTGGGTGGATAGAAACGGTTCCAAACACAAAACCTTACCCAGTTTGTACAATTCTGTAGGGAGAACACACATACAGTTAACCTGCATGCTGGAATCGTTTGTCTGGATACCAGGGGAAATGCTATAGTTGTTGACAGGCAGTTGTACTTTTTTTGACAGGATTAGGGAATCTTGTGGAGGCCGCAGCTACCCCTGAGGGATAACAACACCCACCTAGAGGCAGCTGCCGATCGAAGCTCCGTTAGCAGCCAGCCAGCTCTGTTCTACCCCCTTCTGCTTCTGTCTCTCACAGTCCTTAAGATTTTGTCACTCGATCCAGACACCCGTCTCCATTCTGTGCTGTCCAAAGTCACCTCCTCGGCCCCTCCTAGGGGGCACCCCCACTCCCTGTTGTTGTGCAGTGCTTGGTCCCCCTGCACCCCGTGTGAGTGCACTGGTAACCCGGCCTGGGGTCACACACGCCACGGATGGAACGGTGCCTCTAGCCGGCAAGGAAGAGATGGTCAGCTTTTAAAGAACTCTTTTTAAAGCCAGCAGGTAAATGTGAAAACCTGCCTTGTTTTGACACTGTCATATGTTTACATGTTGTCCTGTACACTTGAGGAAAGGAACACCAACCCTCCTGGCCTGTCTGAACATCCGGCAGCTCTCGCACCAGAGTTTCGGGAAGGGGAGGTGGGATGAATGCTCCAGACACTGAACCAACTTCAGCAGAGGTGACCAGCAACCTGAAGCATCTCTCGTGGTCTTAATCTACACACGTACAGGTGCAACACCTTAACCAGCAACAGTCCATGTACTTTTGGTCTGCCTCTGTTTTGATGACTGGTAGCAAAGGGGCACTAGCGCCTCGCGATGGGAAGCTCGATGGAGCGGGGGAATCCTGGAGTTTCTTGCACAGCAAAAACTGGGGAAAACATCAGTGTGTGCCAGTATTTACAATCCTTTAGGTGCAGGTGTGATGTTCAGCACTAGGTGATAACCGAAGAAGTCACACTGGTAGGATAATTGCAGTTGCTGGGCTTTACATACCAAGGAGCTAAAGGTCATGAGCTCATGCAGGCCAGTGCAGTTCAGACCTCAACAGCTTTTCTTTGAGTTTATGGGTTCAAACATTTCTGGAACTTGCAATGCCAATTTTTAAGGACTGGGAAGGGGACGATGATATTGTTTTATGCTTTTTAAAAATGCAGTGTTTTGCTTGAGTGTGTGTAGGTGCATTTGTGTTCTGGCAGGTAAAGTTCTTGTCCCCGAGGGAGCTGTGGTAGCCGCTGGGGTTTCAGCAGGGGCTTGTGCTGGTGGTGTGAGTGAAGGGGGCTGGCTGGCTGAAGGTGTGCTGTGAGGAAACCATCCTTCTTCATCTGAATGGCACAGCTAGAAGCAAGCTGGGTTGGGCACCTTCCTTGGGTGCTCTCCTGAGACCCAGGAAGTGGGTATTAGATCTCACTTCAGCCCTTTTTGGGGAGAGGAAACCTGAAAGCGGAAGTGGTGAGCACGTAGTCAACACGCAGTAATGCCCAGGGACTGGCAGCAGGACTAAAAATCAGAGTGGCAGCCTTAACTGTGACTTTCTTACATGTGGTGGGTTTGATAGAGCCCAGGACATTGCTTGTCTGGGTTTTCCAATCGGTTTTTTAACCTTGTCTCTTCTTATTTAAACACTCTGTCCCTTGGAGACCAGGCAGTATCCTGCTGTACAGGAGAATCCTTAACATGTTTGTCATTGTGTCCATTTCTGAATCGTCTGTGCCAGTCACTTTGTGTAGGAGCAGCATGGTGGTGGAAAAATGGAGAGAGAAAACGGTTCTTGGTGCACTCTCTAGCTGTGCAGACTCCTTTGTTTCCTGTGATAGCCAGGTGTAAGCAAGCAAGCTTTGCTCTGTACACTGCTACAGATTCTTCTACAAAATTATTTCATTTTTTAAAAAAAAAAAAGCTTATCAAAAGCTGGCATTTCTGATCAAGACTGCCTTTTTCCTGCCCGGTTGGACAGCTTTGGACCCTGCACAACTGTGTCTCCTCTTGGACCCACAAAATTATTTCATTTTTTTAAAAAAAAAAACAGCTTATCAAACCCCTGGCATTTCTGGTCAAGACTGCCTTTTTCCTGCCCGGATGGACAGCTTTGGAGCCTGCACAACTGTGTCTCCTCTTGGACAGAGCAGGCTGCAGCTGCTGCCTTTGGGAAGC